TTATCGAAAACACCAATCAGATACCACTCAATGAAACATTTTCAAACATTCAAAAAATTTAAATGCATTTCTACAAGCCCCAATTTGAAGGAAGTCCGGCATTACCAACTGTCAATATCTGGATATGCTCAAAGCAAATCTCTGAAGGCATATTCCATTTGATATGCCTGGTGAGAAGCTTAAAAGTTCACTGCATAATTTTCACTGTAATGTGATATGGCTTATAACAGTAAAGAAATTTTTCCAACCCTAATTTAATTTCTTCATATTACTATGGAAATATCTGCGCAAAATATGATATTATAAACAATTAAAATTACTTATGAAATAATCTTTGTCTTCCGGTGTTTCTTCACTCTGCAAAACTGGTAAGTCCTGCTCATCATAACTTTTCTCAGCTTTCTTCAACTCATACCGTTTCTTTAAACTTTCTTCCAATTCTTTCAGATAAGCAATACACTGGTCAAACAAGTAGTAAAAACGACGACCATCCTAAAAACAGACTTAGCAACAAGAATTCCACACATTAACGGGCATTTTTCCTCATTTTCAAACCATGTAACAAAAACTGCTAATACAAATTCTGAGAAAGGATAATTAGCAGTCTGATAAAATAAGATTATTTTTTATCCTACCAGAAGTACCCGCTTTATTATTACCGGTGAATTTTTGAATTCTTGAAAGTCGCTCTTGGTAATAATTATTTTTGAGATAATGCCCATTCGTGTGAACAGCTTGTATGCATCTTCCTCATCTCCCTCCCGCATTTTCAGCTTTGCTTCATCGAAAACCCGTTCTGCATGGTCGAATGCTCTATAAAAGGCTTCATATGCCCTTTCATTATTTGTTTTTTTGCTTGTCCAACTACGACGAGGAGGACAACAAAGAACAAATTAAAGTGGTCTACTTGGTGGAAACGAGTCGTGAAATCGCTTGCTCCCACTTCTGCTTATGGGCTACATCACACCATGATTTCAAATGTTCCAAACTACTGAAACGTAAATCAGCAAGGTGAATTAATGTGGGACGATTCAGAACCATCCTGCAAAGAGAACGTTCACAATTTCGAAAAATACTAATATTGACATTCACCAATTAATTAGCAAACAGTTAAAATTCAAAATCTCATCAGGCAGAGAATAGTGACACCAACATTAAACAGGTGAAAATAGGTGAATACACCACTTCTCCATTACAGTTACACATCACACATCTACTTGACTAAATTAACCACTCCTTTTCGCACTTAAACATATTTGGCAACATTCAAACCATTCATTGGAACTCGTCATCGTTGCACAAAGACTCACGTGTCGCAAACCTCTTATATTGGTGCTGGCTTGTCAAAATATTGTTGTTGAGTGGTTCTTGTTTATCACTAGTGCTACCCCACTATGCAATTCATGATCTCGGTGGTTACATTTAATGTCTATCGTTTCTCTAATAGGTCTGTTATGGTTGACCGTTATTTGGTTTGGTCAGTCTGCGGTCACTTTCACATATTTTGTGGTGCTAGTCACCGTAAAGTGGTATTTTTGAGCGGGCTGGTAGTCCTGTTGGTTTTGAGTTTTAAAGGGTTTGGCAGTATTTGGTAGTCGTGTTTGGAGAATGGTGATGAGTAGCATATTCGTTGAAAAGCTTAAAATAAGTGAAGAAAATGGCAGTACTTCATCGACATTTTAACTTCTTTAACGCAAGCTTCAGTTCGGACGACCTTATAAAGTCTGTTCTTTCCTGCTATCGTCGTTATTCCCAGCTTTGTTCTATCTTGAAGCATGCCTTATTTAATGACAACATTTGTAATTTATTTTGATGCGTTCTTTAATTTCATAATATTATAGTACCTTTAAATGAATGTTTTCACGTAGGTTTAAGGTCATCTCTATGTAATTAGTGGTGTCATTGTTTTTGGGAGATCTGTGGAAGAGACACAGAATACTTTTGTACCAAACATGACCATCTGTACAATATTCACATAAATTGGATCAGTAGCAATTAACGCTACATCGAGTATATTACTGCATGTGTTTCCATTAGCTGCGACTAAAATTTGAATTTCATAATAAATTCCAAAATTTGCATATTTATGTAGATGTTTTCATTCCTAAACCGTTCTAGAGTATATATCAGTGGTGGGAAATCGTGTTCTTCATTGCCTAGTTGTTTCCACGCTGTACTTGTCTTATTCGAGAAGATATTGCTGTTTGTGAGTTATAATTTGTACAGTAAGAGTTTAAGAGTTATGAAGAGTAACATTGCGTTATGTTTAGCCTTAAAAATTCTTATATGTTGCGAGATTTCATGAATTTTAGATACTGATAATATGCCTATATCGAAATCGGAAATTACTAAGCAAGAGTCAACCAACGACAAGGAGAATCCGTTGGAAACAACCGAAGAAGCGGTCGAGTCTAACGATAATGAAGATGAAACAAGTCATGCTGAGGCTAGTTTTCATTAAGTTCTTTCTTATGTAAGTAAATATGCATTAAATTTGCTTTGGAAATTTTGTCCGATCTCTTCTCAGGAACATTTCGGTTGGTAGAATTGAACGAATATTGTTTGTATGATTTCGTCTAACGTTATGAAGTGATAACTTTCAAGTACAAGAAAAAGGTGGTATAAATTCGAAGATACCGGAAAGTTTAGGCATTTTGACTTATAGCAGTCTGTGAGACTGTACCAAAGTAGCTTTCACAAAGAAAAGGGATCTACAATGCAATAAATCGTTTGAAAATGTTGATTGAGAATATTTTATTGCAATAGATATTTCGAAAGAAACAAGTTTTCCATATTTTTCGCATGGCAGTTGATAGGCATGAAAACGTAATCTAGTGGCTAAAAGAATTAATGGTGATTAGGTTATTTGTTGACAATATTTGTATCTTCCCATCATAATTAAATCTTTCTAGCACATTTGACGTTGTCTTGTATAACTTCTTAAATGATAGTGATTATAGCATTTCATTCATTCAAAGAAATGCTTCCAAAACATTCTTTTTTCAGCGGTCTGAGTTTGAAAATCTTTCTGCAGCAACTCCAGAATCACTTACACGTCATCCGTTGCAGTGCCGATGGGCTCTGTGGTATTTAAAAGCTGATCGAAACAAAGACTGGGAAGATTGTTTGAAACAAGTAGCCGTCTTTGACACTGTTGAAGATTTTTGGGCGTGAGTTATTTTTCAAATTCCCATTTCATTTTTCGCTGCTTTTCATTTCTAAAGCCTCCTTGCACCTATTTTGATATCGGAACCGCTGTAAATTTACTGTTAACATATTCATTTGCTTCCATTTCACAATTAAGTTTGAATCAATCCCTTCTTCTCAACTGAAACCGCGCCAGAGGTTCAATGAAAATTGCAACTTAGTGCAGCTGCTTTGAAAATAGCTTCTGGTCATTACATTAGTACTAACAGTTTTTGCTAAAAATGAAAGAAAACTTGCGGATTTTAAATTCTTTCAGCTTGTATAATCACATCCAGACTGCTTCGGGTCTTAATTGGGGAAGCGACTACTATTTATTTAAAGAGGGTATTAAACCGATGTGGGAGGACGAAAATAATGTGAAGGGTGGTCGTTGGCTTGTTGTTGTTGACAAACAAAAACGAGCGCAATTATTGGACCATTACTGGCTTGAGCTACTGATGGCAATTATTGGGGAACAGTTTGAAGAACATGGCGAACATATTTGCGGTGCGGTTGTAAATGTTCGACAGAAGGGCGATAAGGTCGAGTTTTACTTATTTTGTATTTCATTATTGCGCTTTAGTTTTCTGAGGAATAAATAAAAGCTTTGTATGTCTTGCAAAAATATTGATTACTACAGAAGCTAAAATCCATCGATTTCTGCAGGTTTCACTGTGGACACGTGACTCACTGAAGGATGATGTGAATTTGCGTATTGGGCAAATTTTAAAAGCAAAACTTGAAATCCCAGATTCGGAACCGATTCGTTATGAAGTTCATAAGGTAATTGAATGTTCACTCTGAGTTGTTATAAAAACTGATATGGATCTGCTTGCTTAAGAGATATCTGTATCTGACTTTTCAATAATGACTTTTTAAAAATTTTGTCATCTCACTGTGATCACCATAACTGAATGAAACATTCGTATGACGGTTGGTTAGAGATTTGGCTGTCCAGTAGTGTATCTTCTATTTTGTGATAAAGCCTGCTTTTGTCTTCAGGACTCGTCGGTGCGTACGGGTTCGATGGTAAAACCCCGTATTGTCATCCCAATGAAAGAAACGAGGTAAATGAGGATAAAGTTGTATTTGTACACATGTATCTTACCGGAGTTGATTGCTTTAGCTGATGTTTTTTTGGGTTTTATTTTTTGTCTAATGTGATTTTTATCTGGTTTTAATAGTTGCTAAAAAAATCTAACAATTTTCCTTTCCACTGCAGTCATATTCAGAACATAAATTATTTGGATATATGCTTTGTCCTAGGATAATAACACATTCTGGATTTTTCGTTACTATTATTTACACATTACTATCGTAACAAATTTCGTTTCTCTTTTCGGCATACTTGTACCTAATTTTTGGAACTGAAGTTTTTGTTTTAATTGAATTAATGACCAAGGCATTTTGGTAACACATAACTGTCGGACTATTGATCTACAGAATATCTTAAATACCTTCCCAGTCGGAAATTTCAGAATAATATGTATATGACTTTGCTTGCACAACCTTGAAGTCATTTCCAGTTGCTATTGGTTTCATTTCTCCAATGATGTTCTCTATATAAATATCTTGACGTCTTAATCGAAATATAAAATGGGGCTTAACTCGCATTATTTCAAAACAATTTATAAATTATTCGATACGCTTCAGCGTATGAAATTAAAGTGTTAAAAACTTGGGAGATGAGATTTTCTAAAGTGAGGTGACTCATAAAAACCAGATCGGTGACAATTTCTCTCATGGAAATAAGAGAGATTAAGGCGAAGAAATGACAGGATTTCTTGGAGTGGTCTGCATCGATTTCCAAGCTGTCAGCAAATAAATTCAGGTTTGGAGGCTAATTGGGTTTCTCGGTGACTCATTTCTTCCAATTCTAGCTCCTGGAAATGTTTATTTCCTGTGAAGGTCGAAGGATGTGAAGTAAACTAAAATTAAGGGAGTCTTTAGCTCATTTAGAATCAATAACATCAATTTATAAATTTCATTGGACTGTTTTCTTCAAAGAGAACATCTTGAAACGACGTAAATATTGAAATTTATGTATTTTGGGGAAGATTTTCAAAGAAGGAACCTTTTCTGCATCTTTCTCAAGTTGTTCATATTGCTCTCCATGCCTTTTCATCAACTGTTCCTCATGTTTCTGAGCTCTTAAATGACAACAATTAAAAAACAAAATCCGTAAATAAGATCTGCTTCTCGAGCGACCATCTGGAATGTGAAATGCAAATAATTACTTACTTTATAGCCAGTCTTTTCCGTTCTTCGCAGAACACTTTCAAATTTTTTTCATTCATTTCTTTTATTCGTCGATCCTTTTCTGCTTTTGTTTTGATGTTTTTATCCTGTTGAAGAAAAAAAAAATGATATTATATATATAAATGTATACTAGTGTGATGAGGATAAGCTGATCAACCACGTGCCCAAACTGAAACCGAATGAAGTACCTGTTGTATAGCTCGAGCATCTTCCATACTCTTTTTTGTCTGGGCTTGCTTCAAATCCTTGTTTTCAGCTTCCAACTTCAGCTTTAACATATTCATTTGCTGTTTTTGAGCATCCTGAAGCAGTTTCCTGAAAGACGTTATTTTATGTGAAAATGAACAATATAGAACACATCATCCATGTTTTGTGGAACCGTAATGACTTGAAATAACCCACAGTACAATCACCAAGAATCCCACTCATTCAACATAACATATCGTGCATGAAGTAGTTAACAAGAACTGCCATGGATTCAGTCTCTGAGTTAGACGCACAATACTGTCTGTTAAACTTATGATCCTGAAATAATTGAGATTTTCGAAGATAATTAAGGTCATACTTCTAAGAAGTATGACCTTAATTATTCCAAACTTGATAACGTACTGAGATTGGCTTCTGTAGAAGATAAGCTAACAATCACCCTAGACATTCAAATTCTTCTTTTATTTGTGATCGCCTTAGATCGTGACATTCTCTTTCGTGCCTTCGCATCATCGACGACCATTCATCGGTTTGAGACAATACCAAAGACTTCATCTGAAAGACAACACTCCATATTAAACTGACGAAGATGGATTGAAGAAATCTATTTGTAAAAGGATTTGAGATAGATACTAGCGCAAAAGAAAGACAATACACTTGTTTCCTTTATGAAAATTAAATACATTCCTAATAGTGTTAAAGGGGTTCTCAAGCTTCCTTCAAAGAATCAAATACATAAGAGATGAAGGCCACATCCTTCTTTGACTTGAACATGTCATATAGGAAACAAGCAGTATGAGGGACGAATAGCACAAGAAAGACAACACACTTTGTAATTATTAGTCATGTCAATATTGTGCGGTATTGGTTCCGACTTCATATATGACAGTGATTGATGTTTCTGACTTCCCGCACTGTTAGCCACTGTTCGCCATTTAGACTGCTTGTAACTGTCACAAATCAATTTGTCGACAGTCATTTGCTATAACTAGTGGAATGCATTAACAAAAGGAGTTAAATGCAAAATTCTAAAGAAATATTCGAGCTTCACCAACTGGGAATGTTAATAAACACAATTCACTCAAAATTTCTTAACGATACCGTGTTATTAGTGATGTTATCAATGCGCAGTGCAAAATTGCAAAAGCAAACAGAAAGAATTATACTAGTTAATGTAAAATAAGCTGATGGTGATATGCACATTGTGTCATGGGTGTCAAGACGTTTTCCCAGTCCACATCTTTCATTCTTGAGAGATTCAACTGCATTTCAGCAGTTCAAACAGTAAATAAGTCATAACAACAGAAGTTTCCAAAAGCGTATTGTAGGAACGCAGTCTAATCCAAATAGAAAAACATACTAACTATTCAAACAGTCTTTGTACCGCACATACTATTTCAATGAATAATGTCGCTTACATTAGTTATATTAACAAATCACAAGGTTTTTAATCACGGAAGATTACGAATAATTTCGCGTCTTTCGATCAAAATAATTCAATATTTCGACTTTACTAATGAAAAAGAAACAATGTGTTTAACAATTATGGTTCACAAGAACAAGTAGTTAGTTACCTGCTGCTTTTGAACTGATCCCCTCTGTTTTTGATGTCGTTTCTTCAGTTCGTTCATATCTTTTTGAAATTTCCGAACTAATTTTTGAAAACATTTATCTTTTTTTAAATCGCCAATATTGATTGCTTCCATCTGAAAGCAATCTACGTTACTTTTGCATTCATTATGAGAAATGTTCTTAAAAATATATAAGTTTGGTATTTCATACCACCCTGCAAGCTTTTTATAAACTTATAAATGCAGATCAATTAACCAGCATAACACTCAAACATTTTCCAGGTGAGATTCTGAATAAATTAAAGCAACATCTAATTTAATAAGCTGTAATTCCCACAGATCTACTTATTCATCTCTTAACCACTGGAAATTCCGATCAAACTTGAGCGAGAATTTTCTTTCTTCGAATAATACAACGATCTGATCAAAAGTAATACTAATTACGAACGTAACAGAAAATGACTTTTTTTGCCACCATCAACGAATGGCTACTCTTTTTGGTTTGAAAGCAATTTGATGCAATCAAAAATTTGCTGTTACGCAAATTTTTGATTGCATCAATACACGGTTACGCAGTATGATATGTGATAATACGTTTGCATTTGTAATGAAACGAAAATGGCTAATAGATGAATAATCATAATAGCTGATTCTTAAATAGATTGGAGCCTTCCATTTTAGTTGATACTCGAAGTTTCCGACTGCTGTGGTCACAAAGACCATAGGAATAGAAGGAATTAGGAAAAATTATGTTAGAAAGAGTATACTAACTATCTTATTCAAAAGGCTTTATAAAAAAATTTTTTTTTAATTGAATAATAAATAACTGCATGAATCTTATGCAATTCCTAACTGTTTTATCAATATCACAATTTCTTAAATAAAAATTAATAATTACATGCCATAAAATACAGTGAAGCAGTATAATTTTACCAATTTCAAAAAATACAACTACCTTCTGCTTGCCATCTGTAGCTTCCGTGTTCAAACGAGCTGAATCTTTCAATAATACCGTTGACTTCAAAGACCTACAAAAATCGCACATTTACAACTTTCATTTACTTGAGAATTGTCTAACCGAAAAGGAATAACGATTAAGGGAAGATTTTTCTTTCATAGTTAAAAATTTGGAAACAATAGAAGACAGCATAGTGAAGAATATAAAGATTGTCAATCATAATTCTAAAATAATATAAGATGCGAAGCGAAAGAAACAAAATTTCAAAGCAAATCATTATAAATTATATAGTCTTAGTGCTAATATGTTAATTTCAGCTTATTTGCAAGTGTTCTACGTATGTGTCACTTCATATTGATTGTTTTTGATGATGGTGTCAAGATTTAGTACTTACTCGTAGTTTTGATCTAGTGGAGCTCCATTTATTCGCAACATATTCTTGTTTGATAGTGTCTTCAACGAACTTGATGTCACTTCTACTATATCCGAATCTTCAACGCCCATATTATATAAAGCTTCTGTTCGTTTTTCCTGTGCAGAAACATATGCGCGTGGGTCCGCCAATGCATCTACTAGGCCTGCAATTAGTGCAGAAAAATTGTAAATCAACAAGGTTTGCGGGAGAAATCGATAACAAATTGACTTTATTTGATGTATGAATAAGCATAAGGAATTTATAAGCTTACCACTCAGTTCATCGGGAACATAAGTTTTGATTACGATTCGAACAAAAAGGCATGGCAATACCATAGGCATGTTTGATTCTGTACGAAGTGTTATATGTCGGTAACCTGCTTGTAAACCATCTAGCGGTAATATTCTCTGTCCAAGTTGTTTTCCATTTTCGTCATAAACAACAAGACGTAAAAGCGCTAGTTCTGGTAAGACAACCTGTAAACAAATAAGACAAAACGAATCCGATCATTATTTTTTACTTAATTTTAAACTCAATCGCAAACTGAATTTCGCTAATATCTTTAATTTTTTACACACTTTAATTATGAAACCACCTTTCTAAACACAAAGGGATCGCTATTGTATACAGGATTCAATCCATTAGCAGGCACAGTACGTGTTCGATGTTCTTTTCGTATCGTATCTGTTGGAAGACCATACATTTCTGCCTCTACGTAAGTTCCAACTTTTCTATCACATAAAAAATGGCCTGATATGATCTGAAGAAAAAAATTAAAATACATTGTCTTTTTCATAATATACTCCATAAAAGAGTACATTTTACATACATTTCTCGAAATTCTTGGATTATTAAACAACTGCAGATGACTGATAAACTATACATTTTCAAACCAATAACATGGATTCCCTGTACAGAACTTAGATACAAAAAAAGATAATGCAGAAGGCTAATACCTTCACAGTGCAGTGTGCTGCAATTACGCCATCAACGGGAGATTCAGAAAATGGATCAAATGATCTGTCAGGTCGTCTCATGAAATCAGGTTTTAAGAGATATCTAAAATTGGTTATAGAAAAGGTTTTGAAGAATTCGGTATGAATACAGCTGTACAGAAAATAATATGAATTCCCTGTATAGAACTTAAATAGATAAGCCGTTCTCAAACTATATCAAAATATGAATTAGCCGATTAAGCTAACAGGAATCGTTTCAGTGCTGCAGGAAAAACTTTTTTTTAATATCTTGACAAGAATATATATGGATCTTTAAAAAAAGAAAAAAACATACCCACATCCACCGTTATACTGAAACTTCCCTTGATTGAGCTGCATAGATATATCAGGAGTTTGAAAATTTAATGCCACCATTTGGCAACCAGCATTCCAAAATATCTGCATTTATAAATTGACTTAGTCTCAGAACAATTTTTGATTTCTCGTATTATGCAACTACAAAGTTTTCAGTCCTAAATCAATGTTTCATGCAGAACTATCGAGTTATTTAATACTCTGAAATATTGCAAAATATCTATTCACAAAAAATTGGCTGATTCGGAAGAATAACCTAGAATGTCATGCAACATATTTAAATAAGACTGTAAATGAAAATGTTCACCTGAGGCAAAAAATTGCTAGAATCGACGCGAGCGCCTTTTGGATATATTCTACATAATTGGCGCTTATTGTAATTAACGAATTCTGGAGCACTCTGCTTCAGATACCCCAAACCCGTACTTTCCGAGAATGAAGACATGTGGAAGTGCAGATTATTCGCTCAAAACGCATTGCAGTTAAGCAACATCAAACGAATGGATTCTAATTTTTTAACATCCTTCCCCATCCACTTATTTTATTGAATTATTAAAAATTTTGGAAATGAAATATGAAATGAAAGATTGTTGAAATTAAGCTTACAATCGAAGTAAAACTTTAGATAAATACCTTCAGCAACATCGAAACCAGAAAATTTCACTGGATGAGTATAATTAACGAGGCTTGACAACAGAGGATGTATATTGGTAGTTGCACCCGTATAATGATATTCCGCAAAAATGCGTTCCTCCTCTTCTTTTGTTAATTGTTGCTAAAATAAAGCAATAATAAAAAATAAAATAAAGTATCTCTGATTTTACTATGTCTAAAATTCAAAATCATTTTCGTAACTAAAGAAGATTTTCAGAGTCTCTCTCTTAGAACACAATCACACCTAACATGTATGAAACATATAAATGTGTGTGTGAAACGACAAAAAAGAAATAGGTGCAAATTTTTTAAAGGCTAACAAAACCTAAGACAGCACTTACTGTACTACTGCATTTACTGGCCATAAGCTAGCCAATATATGCAAGGTTAATGATATGTGCAAGTATAAGTATGTAAATGCAAGTCATTTCTACCAACACACTATTAAAATTACTCTTCCCTCTTGATGACACGTGTCGTCACAGCCTACTCTTGTCCTCGCAAACAACTGCAACACATTAATAACCGCAGCACTTTATTGAAATAATGAAGCACTACAGTTACAGATGCCTCAAAAACATATATACTTAGATTTCTCTCGAAAGTATTTAAATATCCTCTGGAAAATATTCACTTTATCCTAAAGCATGCAAATGAGTGACAAAAGGAACTGGAAGTGGATTAAAAATGTTGTATATTTTTTGCACATCTATTCCTTTTTCCATCGCTTGGAAGAACTCGAAACAATCCTTACTTCATGAATGCCTTCCTAACGTATGGATGAAGCGTTATAGCTAGTACTTAGCATTTCCAAATGCAGTAAATCACCAGATTCATTCCACATTGCTCGTTATGATTAGTGATTAGTGGTTTAAGTCACGCGTGCAAAGTATTTCCTCATATTAAAACACATATACAATTCAAACTGTAAAAACAATATAATTCCCCCAAGAATATTACTTTAAAAAAATGGGTGCATTTCAAACAGAACAAATATCCTTTGATGAATAGCAACTACAGAATACAAAACTTATTACATTTCATGAAGACTTTCAACAGGACCCAAGCATATCAGAACCTTGGTTGTGCGGATTATAGGTTCTCGAGGCAGTAGCAATATAAGCCACCAACTAATTAAAATGAGACAACTTCAAAGTAAAAATCAAAAATGACAAAAGTGTCAATTTAACAAAGCTCATAGATACGAACTGTTTCAATCGTTCCACAAGTATGCTTGTGCAAAACTCGCTGAAAACAGTGGTGCAGATAGAGAAACGTTGTGCACATGCAGATATTAACGAAACTTCTCTATCTCATCTCTTTTTATGCTTCAGTAAAACACCGTGCTCGTCTTAAAGACGATTGGAAATTTTACACTTATATGAACATTGGCAGACGTAAAAAGCTGATCAAAGATGGGATCAAATCAAAACTTATGGAAAAAGTATGATGTGCAACAAACTTGGTAAAGCGTCTGCTCCACCTTATCTTTACTTGGTCCTACATTAATTCCTAATATAAACTGCCTTTTTATTTTTCTGCCTTGTTGATAAATGACGTTGTGGCTGTGGATCCAGTAATGCGGCACTTAAACTCCCGCCACTGCCTTCACATTCTGCCACTCGTGAAGTTCGGCGAAACGATCGTTTGTTGCGGAATGATGATGATGCAAATATGGGTAGCGCCACATTTCCAACAATGTGCGGCGGTGATTCACTTCCAGACTGTGTACACATAATAATTTTAACAGCTTACGAACATTAAATTACAAGAAACTATTTGCCAAAAGCAAAAAAAAAAAAATTATTACACCTAATCAAATTTAAAGATATGCTGAAATGAAAAATTTTCTAATTGAAGACAAGTTCGACATTATCTCCTTGATCTATATAAATGCCTCCAAATATTTATGTAGACAGTATCCAAAAGTAGTAATATGACAACAGGAAAATGGCATTAAACGATCTCTAGCAATACCTAAATTTGAAGTACGCAACAGTTCCAAAAACATTTTAAAAAAGCATCTCAGACTAACTGAACTCAAACGATTTTTTTTTTCTAAAGAAAATTAGTACATCACCATCATCGCAAACCCATTCATTAAACTAACACTTCTAAAGTCTTTAAAAACAAACGGTAATCAGAAATTTTAGAAATTATTCTTTGTTGTCCAACTTGAAAATTCTTTTACGCATTTTATTAAAAATGCAGGTGAACAAAACTTCACCACTCCATATAATTCAAAATGAAATTTAGAACTTGAAAGCAAATCAGTAGGTAAAAAATGGAATGTAAAGAATGCCTGAGGTTTCTTGGCAACAAGAGGTTTCAATTTTGATATGAAATTTGTTTGTTTGAATTCAGGATGTGCTTCATCTAAGTTTCTTAATAGCGCACCATCATCTGAAAATTTCTTGGAAGAGAAACAAAACCAACTGATATTTAAAAATATGTTTTCTGACCAGTAAGCGAGTGATTATTAAAAGAACCATCAATTCAACAGTTTGGAATCCCTCTTTATTGAAGTTTATTGCGTTATACATTGATCAAACATTAAAACTAATTTCATTTACTTTTTGAAAGGAAACAAAATTATACTTGCGTCTAATGTTGACGTTGAGTGTGCATCGCAAACTTCTACCTCCGGATGTGCTCTCTGGTCACTAACTGCTGCAAAAATATTGTCCTTTTATTCGAAATATGGAATTAAGTTTTTTTACCACCTATTAGCTATGGATTATGCTTACTAAGTGCTGAAATTTCCTCGCCAACAAAAGTTTCTGGATTTTCGATCGGTTCATCTTCGCCATCTAATTTACCCTCGCGGAGAAACTGTTCCATTTGTAGTTTTTCAATATCTGCTTTCAATCGTTTGTTTTTAATTAGTATTTTACGTTTCAAACGATTGGGTGATGGCAATGGTACTCCTGGTTCAAGCGGATAATCATCCAAAGGCTTTGACAGCAACATATCACCAAGTATATCCATACAATATTTTGCCATTTTGAGTTGATTTGATCTAGAGCAGTGATTTTCGAATGATAAAATCACTGGAAAATCAGACCTAGCGAAAGCAGTATCCCGAATTTGATACAGCACATCCTGAAGAAATTCTGAATATATGTCCGATGATACTGCTTTCATTAAAAACTTCATTAAAAACTGACTCAAATACATTAAGGAAAAGAAGAAATGAAAAAACCAAAAAAATCGTTCACACCCGTTCACCAATGCATTTAAAGATGACCCTACACAGTTTAAAAAAAAGTCTATAATAAAATCACAATATGGAAATGGCACAATCAATAGCTTACTTTGAAAAAAACATCTGTACACATTGCTTTGCCATGGGTGATAATTGGTTCACCCTTATTTTCCCCAGTACCATCCCAACAATCTAGTTCAATGCATCTGCAATGGCATGAAGAATGAAGAACTTCATATTATTAATTTGCCCAGTTGGAGTTATTTATTGCTCGCAAATACCATTTAGATCTGTTGAATCTTAGAAATGATAATTACCTACACCCCGACAATAAAACCTGACGATAAATTTCAGTCGAACTTTTTCCGCCATATTGCCTTCCAGTGAGATATGTATTGTGCGAACTGAAAAAAAGAACATTTTCTACTAATAAATTTTCCAACGAACAACTCATTGACATTAGCAAGAAACAGTCTGTTACAATTAATAATTTAGTAGTTTCCATACTACTATGCAAAAATAACTAACAACATTACGTAAATATTTGCTATTTCTAATCTGATGAGAGCATTGAAAATGTCAGATTTTTATGTACCTATTAATATAATAGTGACACAGAGGTTGATCCATATCCTGATAAAGCTCGACTCGATCTAAAAATATTGGTGCATTTTCATCAGACATCAAAAACCGTAAGAAAGCATCGCCAGACATTTTCCCTGAAAAAAGTTACAAAGAACTAAATTCAATCATACAATTTCAAAACGGTTTGTGAAAAAATTCTGATCCAATCATGACAAATTGCTTTAAAAATACCATTATTTATATAATTTTCATCACTTTCGTATTTTGATATTAAATTCAGCACTCTCTTATCATCAAAAAATGGGAACAATATTTCGTTCAGTCGAGGATCCCTCTGTTCTTCATTCAAGAAATTTATTAAACGATCTTTGGTAAGATATTCTTTTTGACCACTTCTGCAAAACAACTACCAATCAGATGCCTCATGATACTGGCACAGTATAGAAGCAAAATAGCTTAGAAAACGCTTATTTAACCTAAAATAATGTCATTGGTTAAACTACTCAAATATGAACGAATCTACAACAGCAATAAAAATAATACTGCACCAGTTCATGCTGGATCAGATATTCCAACAATTTTAACGCTAACTGCTACTTACAATTTTACGAATAATTCTTGCACATCACTTCGTGGACATATTTTATAATATAAGCGCAAATATTTGTCAAAAGTAAATAATTCCACATCAAGTTCATCATGTTCCTTAAAAACGAAACAACAGAAATAAATGATTAATGTTATTAATTAAACTAATAATTTTATTAATTAAAAAACTGGTAAAATATCGCTAGATAGTAGAAGTATTAACAAATGATTCTTAGAAAAAGTATTTGCTTAAATTATTTTTTTGAAGTTCAACGAAATACATGCTTTATTGCCCGAAAGTCCGAGATCACTGAGACATTTCTGCACCATTCGATCTGTTTTACCACCGGAAAAGATTTTGACAATATTTCTTATGGGAATTTTTTGACGTTCATTCAAACAGAGACACAAATAGCGCCAACTGAAAGCACGCTATTTTAAAAACAAACAGAGAGATTTTTAAAAAATGCGAATTAAAAGCGTTAGTTATATATAAGCTAGTCAAAAAATCATAAACCTAAGTGTAAGTAATAAAACAAACAAACTTTTTCATCAAGCTTGTTGTATAAGAAATATGTCGCATTTTACTTGTTCTTAAAATTTCATTCAGACCATTTCGCCAGATCTAAAATTTTACAACAAATAAAATGCTTGTAATGCTTGTACACAACTTCTGCACAACCTTCATTTCCTGGAGATGTCTTAAATACAACAGCTGGTTTATAAAAAATTACCGTAAAGGACTTTTATTAAATTTTAGAAGAATAAAGATACAAGAATAAAATTATTTACCTTGGCAATTTCAATATCTTCCGCAACCAAATAGTAATTACTAACACTGACTAAATCAGGACCATATGTAAGCCAAATTGTTCTGTCTTCAATGGTTTCACGTGGTCCATGCTGCTCCAATTCAAACATTACCCGTCCGTCTTTCGGTAATGTACCGCGTCTTGCTTCCCAGACCTGTCATGCACATATTTTTCTAAGAAAGAATTTCAAGTATTAATGATATAAATATCTAGAATCAAGATAAAAACAACGAAAGTTCAGTACTTTCATTAAACAGATATTGCAATAATAAAATAATCAGAGAATTTTCGCGCTGGAATAAAACTTGAATTAGGCAAATATGCAAGTTACAAATAACTGACCAGGATAAGGTCGAGCACTGATGTATCTTTCTTTTCTTCTGATGTCCAGTATAAAAAAAATCCATACTCATCCACACGAAGAAATGTACTACATTCTAGACATATGCTTTCCTGCAACTTTCCATTTAAACCAAACATCTAAACAAAGATATACAGTAATCAGGTACTTGATGAATCTCCCATGAGTTTTGCAACAAAAATAATCCCACTATAGTGAAGAATATATCATATAGCAACTATTAAGCATCAAAAGTATGAAACTTTCTCGAAATTTTTGGACAAAAAAGGAACAAAAATGATATAAATTTAACTCACATCATCATATTTATCGAATTCATAACCTTTCAGAAGAGCATCAGGGATGTTGGGCTTCCAACTGAACTGGTACTCTTTGGCCATTCTCGAGAAAGGCCTCACACGCCTCTCTCATATCACCCAATAACTTTCTAAATAAAACACCATTGCACAATCAAATTATTTTAAGATTCATGACGCATGCAAAAGCAATTTTTTCAATCAAACGAACGGATTTTGTCCAAGAAAAACATCGACGAGTTATTGAAGAAGTGTATTCACAAAGCAGATACAATATTTCTTCCACAACAAGTTGGCAAGGACCTAGTGAAGATTCGTAAAGAGAAAACATTGTGTCAATCAGTCTATGCAAAAGATATAAATATAAAAAGAATGAGACAAGCCATAACTAATGGAGAATTCTAAAATACCATAGAACATAGAACGTCTTCAAATTGCAGCATCATCACCACAAGATTTTTGCTGATTTATGCAAGACGAAAAAATAAGAAAAGCGCAGCTTGGAGAAAGCAATGGTCTGCCGAATAATATAAAGTATAAAGCCGAAACGGCTTTCTTTATTGGCCATCATCTAAACCTTTAGGAAAAAGGAAAATATCTGGACGGGCAAACAAGCATACTTTCTATCGAGAAATTTTTGGGTGGTTTTCAATAACATTACGATGCACTGTTCGATGCAGAGATCGATGATGAAAGTGCAAATGATCAATTATAAAGCAAGCAATATTAATCAAGTTATCCTGTTTTAACAACTGTATTGTGATTGTAGAATGGAGAAAGCAATGGATATATTAAATGGATATATGAACATAACCTAGAAATATTCACTAGTGGTTTGAAAAGCTTATTTCCTGAATATTTTTGCGTATCGAGTTATGCTTCAATTCAATCCGTAATGATCCTTGGACACACCGATGTCAGCCGTTATAGCATTCCACTTGACCTACCCATTAGTTTGTCAGTTAGCAGTTCAACGTAGAAAACTATGACGAATAACAGCCTGCTTTTTATGATTGGTATTTCGAGGATCACTTTCCAGTGAATCGAGAGATCCCTATCTATCGTTGTTACTTTTTGATGAAGCTAATAACAACAGGACAAATGGCCTTATTACACAATGATTACTAATAACATAAGTGAGGAAGGAAGACGGCCAACAATGATCAATGAAATCATTTAAGAAGCTGTCACTCGATGTCAAATGACTTGAGAATAAAACAATTCCTTCTTTAAAAAAGATGATTCATGTAGGCTAGAAATGACTGAAACAATTCAGGAGAGATGTTGCAAACAAAAATGAATTTTCGATAATTCCTAACGATCCAAAAGGAAAGGTAGTAGCAAAAAATAACATATATCAGATTACATCAGTTCATAACATACCTTTCTATAACAATAATAACATTTTTTGAACTAAAGAAATTCAATAAACTGAAGTAAGCAAATAAGGATTATATCATTATGCTAGATCTTCGTAATAATCTACATTCACTGTATGCAATAAGAAAGTCAATCATCCTTAAATTTATAATTAATCTTTTCATCTTGCACTTCTTTAATGTTTGTTTAGATGCATACAGAACTTGTAAGACACTTCTATTTCTTTTTAAACTTGTGATTAAATCATGAACTTTAATCCTGACAACAGAAATGAGCATGCCATCTGCAATATAAGGAGTATTTGAAGATGGAAGCATCCTTCAGAGAGCAACACAGTCGAAAATTTTTCAATAACGAAAAGAAATACTGGAACTAACCAGAAAAAAAAACTCGAACATTCCAACAGAACATTATTCAACATCTTGCACGATTTGATAAATGTCCTAATTCGATCCGTTTAGGAATTGAGTTATTACTCGAGCGTCTGATGATTACCTGGTGATGCGTATTCAAACCAAAATATAAAGTTTTCCAGTTCAATAAGCACACGCTCCTGGAAAACAAAATATCTTTTTGATTAATGCAATGAACTGAAGTGAAATGTTAACACACCATATCAGTAGAATTCTACAGCAGTTAAAGTCTAACGAAGTTGAGAACACCAAAAGATAAGAAAGCCTTCTATTACAGCTGGCATAGACCGTCCAGCAATAAATGATAACCATAGCATCAATGTCTATTCCATTAGCGCTCCGCTCAGCTGATCAGCACTTATATGTGCTAGCAGATGAACATCAGTAAGTGTGAAGTTGAAATTGATTTCCGATAACGTCACTTAATCTGCATCATTACTTAACTTTATTATTCAAGCCCATTTGTCATTTAAGACAACACTACCCAGCGTCATTTACAACTACAGTTCGTGTGCAAAAGAGAATTAACTTGGCATCACCAAATGGAATGCTAGAAGTAACATCAACTTTCTGGTTTGCATGGAACAAAAGATATAAAATACTTTACACTAGTTTCAATAACAGAAATAGGTCTGGTAAAACAGCTGCAGATAAATTTAAAAATATATGTTCAGGCATGCAGGAATGTTTTGGAATTTAAAATGCAAAATGATGTTAGCACCAATGGAGCATATACGCCTCCCAAGAGTAGAATAACTTATATATATATAAAGCTTAAATGGAATAACGGCGCAGAGATGTAAGAAAAAGCCAGAACATGTCATAGCTAATCATGAGCTGTAACTCAGTCAATGAAGCATAGACCTACACCTGCAATAATGGACGACAGATGCTCTAATGCCTTCGCATAAAACAGAATGAGACTTAATAGTTCAGTGGCGCCACTTAGACTCAAGCTTGAAAATGAAGGAATAGATTAGAGTCTGGCAATTTGGAAAAGTTAAGAAGTACATGTAGTACGAAGAGTAATTGTTGAGGATGAGCTCGGTAGATGAATTAACAAGTTTTCAGCTTAGAGAGAAATGTCTGCGGTTATCGATAAAAAGAGAAAAACAGAACTGGCCAGCTAGACTGTGAGGGCTCAAGTTTAATAGAGATCTGAAATTGCGCCAGCATTACTAAGAGTACCAAATCGTAAAATGATAGAATTGGAGAAATAAGGAACGTAGGTGTTGAAGGGTTAGTTGCAAGAATGGACTGTTTACTTCTAATATTGCTTCAAAACAAAAATTACGAAGATGGTTTCTCGAATAGAGAGAAAGAATGGTACACTGCGCAAAGAACCCTTCTTACCTCCATGCTTACCTATGCTATGTTTGCAATAAACCTCTCCGATACATCGTACTAAATCCACATCCATCCTTAATTTCCTGCCATCTATTCCCTCTGCAAAATCGACACACAAAGACACCGGTAGTATATCTCTGTTCCCCTCTCTAGTGTTTTATCCATTATGAAAAGAAGACAGAAATGAGTTCCGCCTTGAGAGAGAGAGAGGGAGAAACAAAAATCAATTGTCGTCAGTAAGTGCTTCATATACTTTGAAAGCAGAAGCAGTCATTCATTCACGTCTGCACTTATTATGATTGTCATCTGTCAACATAAATACATGAAGATGGAAATATCCAGATCAAGCAATTGACAGAATCTTTATGTCCTCCAGATGCACACATGGCACATGTCGGCATGTATTCCGGATTCCTCCTTTTCTCAACACTGAATTTGAGTTTCTTAACAAATTCAAAGGCCCATTATTAATGGACCTTTGAAAACATTATTAATGGAACTTGGCTGTCCAACATGTCATTAGTAAATATGCTAAATACTAACCATTGCTGATCCTTTTCCATAATGGTGGTGTCGCGGTTTCTCATTGTTCAATAATCAGGTCCTGTTTGCATCAAGCAAATACCAACCTTTCTTTCAACGTTTTGGAAGTCGAAATAACATTTTATGGGTGTTGTTAGTCTTCTTAGCCATATGATAGACGTCCTAATGTCCTTCATCCGTGCAATATGACATAGCTTTGTTAAGTCTTGCGCTAAGAATTTTACAGTTCCAACAATCTTTGTTGCAACCAAAAAGTCAGAAAGAAGAGATTGAATAAGAGGGAATGTGTTAAGAGTGAATACACTTTAAATCTATGTGGTAAACCTAATATCCTAGTTGTGAACCTTCCTATTTGACTAATTTATGCAAATTTGAAACTTACTTTAATGGCGGGGGAGGGGTGGTGAGAAGTTCATAGAAAAGATTTTATTTTCCACAACTGTGAAAACATAGTAAAATTCTACGAACTCTGAAGAGAGTGTTTATTCGCTGCTTCCATAACTCCGGCCAAAAAATTTAAGTTTTAAGATTCATCCCAGCTAATGATAGAATGAACTATTGAAACAAGTTGTAGCTAATGGTAGACCATAAAAATAAAGTCATGCAAAAGAATATCAAATTACTAAGAGATGTATTCGCTTCCAAAGAACCATTTTCTTTCCGTGAATCCATTCCCTCTCATAGATGTACTAAAATTTAATACATGCTAAAATAAAAATATCACACGCACAAATCAAATGTCACATTCTTTGATTACAAATTTAATTTCCAATTTTGACAGGAGTTTTTATCAAAAGATATCCTACTCAAAGACAGACATTAAATTTTTAAACATTTTTATTTGGAATTTAGGGAAAGAAATAAATGCAAAGTCTTAGTAAAAGTATCAAATCAAATATATTCTTATATCATCCAAATTTCATGTTGAACAGAATATATTTGCTTTGGTTCTTTATCCTCCGCATTTCAGATAAATTCCTAGAAACCAAAGTTATGAAATGAAAAGAATACAGCGATGAAAGATGAAACCTCTGCTTAAATCTAATTGCTCTGGAAAGGCTGACAAATTCATCGGAAAGAAGTAAGTGATGTGAAACTATCGTAGCACCACTTCTTCATTCCATACTACTAACAGTAAATGCAAGATAATCTTGGTAAACATATAAGCATTTTTTATGACCTCCCAATGATTTATACAAACTAATATTTACAGAACCAGGAGACATTACTATATTTCCTTTATTCCTTATTTTCATTCATAATTTGGTAAAGTCTTTTTTGAAATAATCTGTTTTATTCTCCATGGAACCAGTCAACAACTTTACTTAGCTTTTTGTTCCATAACGTTACTTTATTTTTCAGTAAATCTTTCATATGCGTCAAATCTATCGCAAAATTCGAAATAAGTCTCACGAAACTCCAAATAAGTTACAAAATATATCAAACAAAATTCCTTTCAGCAAGTCAACTTATTGTAAATAATGTAGTTTGTTTATGTATATTGCTTGCTATATTAAGGAGATCACTCATGTTCAGAGTGGGTGTGTTTTTACCAAGAATCAGGAGGGTGGGTGTGTTTTTTTACTCAACCAAACGCAGCTCGACCACAAAAAGAGATTTCCAATCCTTCTTTATAAAATTTATTACATTGTTGCTTCGGTTGATAAAAGAATTGTTATATGCCTGTGTTACCTCAATATAAACATCTATACCAAACGAACCTTCCCGAGCTCAATAAACTTCTCCTCTCCAAAGTAATAAATTAAATACAGGTATGTTTATTTCTCTTGACACTCGACCCAAGCAGACAACAATTCATTTAGTTACTGTCCAGTAAACTGTCAACCTTTCACTTTCAACTCCTGCTGCTGTGATAATCCTCTCAGCATTCTTTACAACATCATGGCGATGCTATTACTTATAACGAGGTAGTTATCCAAAGAAATCTATAACCCAATCACTTTTATGACTGTTACGCTGCATGTGAGGGTTGCAATGTAAGAGGAACTATTAGGAAAGCGGAAGTACGCGAACTATGCTGGTCAGCAATATTAAACTATGCTGGTCAGCAATATTAAATCACTCACTGTCTGTTTCAAGGTGAAACAAGCCGGACAGGCCGGACAGACATCGAGTCAACACTCCCACAAATGCAGTGGATGGCTAACTTTCACCGCACTGTCCGTCACTTCAAACTGACGTCGCACGCGCCAACTCTCCTGAAGGCACCTTGACGAACTAGTTACGGTGCAGCGCTATATTCGGAACATTACTGGTGGTACCGGGATGTTAGGATTGGACTTTCAGGGAAGGTGGGAAGGGGAGAGACAAGCAAAGGCCGAATGTTTTATTATTGTAAATATCACTTCATCACAAGTTATTCTGAATACCGCCTGATTCTTTCATGTCTCACCGCTCAGGTGCGATATTATTGCTATATTGAAATGACCTCTTCACGTTGCTACCGTTTAGTCCCAAAAGGAGAAAGGGCGAAAATGGGTAGTTAATAATGAAATGCAAGAAAGACTGCGAAATTCTTTCAATTTTGTCCACTTGTATCTTGTTAAAAGTTAATGATTTTTTTTGGGAAGTTCAACTTATTTTTTTTTTAGTAATTATGAACGAAAAGATGATTGATGAGAAACAATAAAGTCGTAAGTGAGATAAAGATGGGGAAAAACTCATCACCACTCATCCTGATAGAGGGACCACTTGAAAAATTAAAAGAACGAGAATTCCCGTGGATTTTTTCTGGCAAAAAATTTTCTGTAAGTTAAACTAATTTATTTTCTTGATTTGAATTTATGATTAATTAAAACTCTACAGCGTTTCCACTCCAAAAGCACTCATTCTATAGAGATCATTTGTTATCTTATAAGGCGACATTTCGTTAATGTTATTGAGCTGTTCTATACTTTTACAATTCTTTGCATTCAGAAGTTTATTTTCTGTAAATAAAAATTCGACTTTATTCCTTGGTTTCCTGGATAGAATATATGTTGAGGATATTTCAACCGTTGTGATAATTAATAAATAGCGTCTAACTGTTATTGTACAAATATGTTTTTCTTCAGACAACATGGGTGCTTCGCTACTATGTGCTCCGAAATGCGGACATTCCTGGTCAAAAATCATTTCTATTGGAACAGCATGAAGATAGTATGCCTTTCTCAAAAGTTCATAAGACTTTGGATTTACAACGTGTCCTGCAGGTTTTCTCTTTTTTTAGAATTTTTGATTGCGTATTTTATTAATTGCTTTGAAATTTCGGCAATAACTTTTTTCATTTTCCCGTTTTGATGAAACAAACGTTCTTCGGTTTCAAGTATTTGAAATAGTCTCATTACTTTAAAAAAATTCAATGCATTAAATATTTGTATGCTGTCTATGGATAGTTTCCAGGTTGACACGAATATTTCTTTGAAAGTTGGCAACCAAAACTGGATTTTTGCAGTTCATTACAAAACAGAACATGATGAAAAGTTGAAAGTTCTGTACTTAGCTGCCCACAGCGAAACAGTGAGTTGATATTCTTTAAATTTTTGCTGAACAGATATGGTTCTCTTGCTTTTGATGTTCATTTTCAACATAATTTAGGAGATGAATATGTGGATTATGAAATTAAGCTATGCTTGTAAACTCCAAAAACAATATGAGAATTGTCAGATAATCCCAGGTATTGCTGTGTTTTACAAAATTTCATCTTTCGTAATTTTTCAATTTGGGGATTTACTGTAACTCATTCAGTCTTGTGAAGAGGTCCATACTTCATTTTGAACAAGAATTTAATTTTTGCTGGGAAATCCAAATCGTGGATGAGAGGTTGCAAACCTAAGAATAAGGTAAATGTAATTAGATGTGACAATTGAAATTGTAATTTGTATGTATGCAATTTCCAGTGCCTAGAGAAAATGTTGTTAATGAAAGTGCAAATAAATTCTTGCTTGTGGAAGATAAAATGAATAAACGTTACTTCACTGATAGTGCTGTGGTATGTTTTCATATCCTAATCATTTGTATTCGGAATAATTCTTGAGGATTTGAACAATTATAAAATAAGTGGTCTGTTGAAAAAGATTCTTGATATTATTAAGGGGTCAAACATATTGCATTATAGATAACATTTGTGCTCTTCATATTATATTTTACTTCCATTTATTTTTCTTCTTTAGATCTCATTTTCTCTGTGAATTCAATTCCTATGCTGAGTTTGCATTTTTAACGTTATAGTATATATATACATATATATATATATATACAAATTTACCAGGTAGAATCGCCGATATTGTCAAATATTATTACTAATAGTTCCAATTATATAGAAGCCATGACTGCTCATGCTTATATACGTTTAAAGGATTGCTCCTCAAAACATTCATTAGGTAATCATCTTGCTATTTCAACTTTTCTATTTTGGTTGTGCTGTTGAAAACTTAAGAATCATCTCTGGCTATTTAGATGAATAGTTTTGTCCACAAATATTGGGATGATTTTATTTTCAGGAAGCAGCTCAGCATCTTTAAGCTCAAGCATCGCAAGTTCGTCCACTTTATCTGAAAATCTTTCATTCAAAAATTCGTTTCTGATTCCTCCTCCCATGTGAGTTTAATCTAATAACTAAGTGAAAATGATCCAGTTTTCACTTAGTTATGAAATATTCTTCCATAATTTGGTCATATCATTGTTAAAAAAAAAAACGTGGTTATATTAAAGTGATAACTTCAGACCACCCAAACCAAATCGTGGTCCACGCATACAGAAAAGCGAAAAACACGTTTTCAAATTAGGTATTACATAAATTGTTTTATTATCAGATATTACTTGTTTCTTCACACACTTCATGTTCTGTTTTTTCTGGAATATTAACACGTTAAGATATCCATACTATGCATATTTATTCGATTTAAACAAAATTTAAGCAAGGTGATTTCAAAAACGCATACAAATTCGAAAACTCGATAGAGAGCTTAAAACTAAAGTGCTTAGCACAAGGCTGTTTAATGGACTTTTTAATGAGTTATGGTTATGATTGTAGATAAACATGTTTTGGAGCAGCCAGTCAGTTTTCCAGATGTTCATGGGACTCTCAGTGTAAAAGAGGAAGAATGGAGCAACGAAACAGTTCGTCCGTATGTTATTTTTCTATTGGATTCAGGGTTTCCTGTTACTTTGAAACTTTGTGTCATGTAATCAAGACCTTCAACTTATTATTTCTCACTCTCTTTTTTTAGCGATACAATTGGCTTGATTGATTCAGATAGGATTTTTTTATCAGTTCATTCCTCAACCTCTACTATTTTTGATTCAAGTGTTCCCAAGCCACTTCCACGTCGCCGTAACTTGCGTAACATTCCTCCTGAGGTAAAGTTGTTCATCTGATGTTCAGGGTATTTATAAAGTTTTTGTTCTGATCTTTGAATTATTTGTCTAAAGCTTCTAAATATTATAATTCTAGGTAGACCGGTCTTGTAAGCCAAATGGTGTCGCTGTAACTAATGATCAGAAAAGATGCAATACTGATGATTGGTAAAATAAGTCTTTCGTTTCTATTCTGGAAATTTTAGTATCGTGAGACTGTTTCAACTGTAAATGTTTAGATGGTCTAACTTGATACCAACTAGTTCTTTGTGAGTGAAAGTGTTATTTTTCTGATTTCGAGTAACGTCTTAAACTGACTTAAAAAAGTAAGGCAGACAATGAATCATTTGTTAGGAGTAGAGAAGTGAAATCTATTAATTCTTGCTTAGTATCAAGATTTTTTATATAAGGACTTTAATTTTATATATAATTTCGATAGAAAGAAATTTATTTGTCAGTTTAGGAAAACAGAAGTATTTGCTGCATCAGCACAATTTTTACGGAGTGATCTTTCACATCAACAGTCTTTGTATGCTGTAGCAATGCGAAATAAGCAAGTAAGTGGAAATTTTGATAGCCTTCTTCTAATCACATCCGTGTATGGTCATGAGCAGAAGTCAAATCAATATATATATTTGATTGGTTATTGACAAAGGAGTAGGTAAATAGTTTTTTTTTTTTTTTTTTTTTTTTTTTTAAGATTTCAGTTGGTCAGGAGGTTTTGTACGATAATGAATCAATGAGAACGACGAGTAGCACGCTGGATTATCTTGATCCTGTGAAGGAACCATTAGTGCAATCACAGTCATTTATCAAATCTTCGCAGCGACCGAAAATTCCCTGTGCCACTGAGTACACACAGATTGATGAAGAAAGCACAAAGGTCTGTTTTTTTTTTTTTATTTAGAGATTTTTTTCTTCTCTCTCTCTCTCTCTATATATATGCAAATCTGTATATTGTCAAACTACTTACCTTTAGTTTCCTTTCAGTTGCCTTTTTATAATATGTGAAATGCTAATATTCGATTTATCGCAATTAGTATTAAGGTGCGCTATTGTTAGCTTTTTTACTAGTAGCAAGATTTTTTGCTACTGTAGTAAAAAAGTGCAAAACAAAAAGAAAAATTATTTCCGAAAATCATTTCAGGCAGTTTTGAAAGCCAATGTGCGACAAAACGAGATGAGGCGTAATGGTTTTCCAGTTTGATTCTGATGTTCTCCGGCTATTTTTTTTTTCCTTATTTCGTGCTGCTTTATGCGAGGTTATCATTGTTATCCATCCATTTGTTTATTGTTCAAATAAAATTGTAGCGATTTTTTGCTGATTTAAACTTACGAGGAGCTATGTAAAATATGTCACATAAATATTCAGTTCTTTGAATTCAGTAAAACCACTATAAACAATATAATAGTAATCTGTTTATGTCGAATGGAATGGAGATGCATGCCCGTAATTGATAGCTAAAAGCTTCAATATTTTTATATATTTTAAACCAAATAATCTGCATGATTGTTCTAATCGAATTTGAGTTAAGTGATTTTCAGATTATGAAGTGCTCAAATTTTTATAAGTGGATTTAGTAAACATTCTTCCATTTTTATCTTATCATCTAATTAACGTGTATTGAAGGCTTCAGAGCCATTTCATTTTCATCAGCTACCACAAACTGCACATGAATGATAATAAAGATGCTTTATATGTTCTTTTTTTTTCTTTTGTTTTTCAAGTACATTCCAGCTATTTTCATGTATAGTGAAGAAGTAAAATTGGACAGGAGTGGAAGAAGCCTAGTTTCAAAATTCGGCATTCACCAGTTCAGCGAAAAATGGAAAGTTCTGCCTTGTTTTTGGATTCCCTGAGTATTTCGAAAATATGCCGATCCAATCGGGTTACCTCCAGGACTTTGTTTTCCAGGAACTTGCTATGCACCTACTGTGACATTAGTTGATAGAGCGAGTCTTCCAAATTTTAGATATCAGTAATCATGCTCATATATTTGAGGAGTATATATAAATCAAGGCACTGGAGTTTTTGTATCCAGAAATAAGTAAGATTTAAAAAGTTAAACCTGATATTGAGCGAATAAGTCAGTTAATCAAGGAACATATCAAACAGATAAAAATTGAAACTGTAACAACTTATTAATTATAAAATGTTGAATATAGACGGGTCAGTTATAATAGAGAAAAAGAATGGTTTTTGCTATTCTTTTCAAAATGCAAGGCTTTGATATTCCATTGCATTTATTTTACAATGTTTATAAAGCTAATAAATTAATTTTTATGACAATAAAATTCAAAAAGTTTTACGTTTTGCCTTATTGTTATTCAGTCGAATATGATCGTAATTCTTCTGTTTTGATAATCAAAAAATGCAGATAAAAGCTATAAAATGTTGAAGGAGTGATATAATTTATGCATTTTCAACATGTTTTTAAAGATGAAATGACTTCTTGGTTTAATTTGAAAATACTTCGTGTGTGCTGCTTTTGTATGGCATTAAAATCGGATGTACATGAATATTCCTCGGTAATTCAAATAATGATTTAAATTAAATTGATTTAAATATCTTTTAGTTACGAAGTAGTAACGGGACCAGAAAATCCCAATTATAGACCATTTATTACAAATTATAAAATTAATTGTAAACCAATTACGAACCGTTCTCAAACGTGTTTCATTTCACGTATTAAAAAAAAAAGCAGGTTTTCTGTGCTAATAACGTTGCGGTGTTAGCAAACAGTTCAGACAAAACAAGGTGAAAAAATCGGTGGAAAAAAAAAAGTTCTGCAGGAGTACACAAAGCAATTTCGTTTTTTCTTTTGAATGAAGTTTTGACTAAACATTTCTGGAAGATATTTGCATTGCATTGAGAATATCTAAGCAATTATTGTAAGGTGATAAATTCACTGTTTATAAGTCAAACGGTCATAACAAATCGATCAATCTTCAATCTTTCTGAGACATGAAATCATAAGAGGAGATGAGACTTTGTTATACTTTTCCGGTTAACATGTATCTCGGATAGCATATTGTACGTTCCACTCATGTGATCGACCGGTTTATAGCAAGAACAACAAACATTACTTACACTGAAAAAACCATTTCGTTTTACTGCCACTACATCTGGGCATGCTGTAGTATTTAAGAAAGTGACATTCGATAACTAAAGGTCGTACTCCTTGTGAAATGTCGAAGGCAGTAGGACGTTTGTCGAGCGGTATATCATTGGTCGGAATTGCAACATGTTTCTTTTATATTCCATATCTGATGGAACGTATGGAAGACATCCGTGGTACTCTGGCTGTCAAAATGGATCTTTTTCGCGTATGTTATCATTGAAATCTTAATTATTTTCGACAAACTTAAAAATATGTATATAGAGTCTACAAGAGTCAAATTTCAGAATCACAAGAAATCCAATTTTCTGTTATTTTCTTCCAATTTGCATTTGGAATACTCACTGAGAATAGCGTATAATCCAATTGCAGATATTAGAGCAGGAAGTATGGGCTGAAATGATGATTACTCGTGACAAAATGCCACGTAGTCGAAAAGAACGTCAAGTGGAGCCAGTCTGCAACTGTGACATTGGTGACCGATGTCCGCCAGGACCTCCGGGAAAACCAGGCTCCCCAGGAGTACCCGGTATTCCAGGATCTCCTGGTCAACGAGGTATGTTATAAATTACTTAATAGATTTCTCTTCTTACAATCGAACTTTTTAAATGTCATATGTTTTGAATTTGATCCCAGAAAAAGAGAAATTAGTATTTCTTCTATTGGAGAAAGCAGTTAAGAAATCATCGATATGATTCATATATTATGACGCTGTTGTCCAGGAGGACCAGGTTTACCTGGAATTGTACCACCAATGACCTTTCAACCCGCGATCGGTTGCAAACAATGCCCACCAGGACCAATTGGACAACCAGGTCCAAGAGGACCAATGGGACCACCGGGTGAGAAAGGACCAACAGGCAATCAAGGACAAGATGCCCGCCCAGGCAATAGTGGACCACCAGGACCCCCTGGACTTGCAGGTAAATATAATAAATTAATATTCCGCAACATTGTAGCCAACTTTTTTTTGAAATTACAATATCTTTGGAAATTGTACTATAGTACAAACATCTGCATTACTTGTTTCAGGCCAACCAGGACAGGATGGCAAGCCAGGTCAACCAGGTCCACCAGGAAATGAAGGAGTCGTTGGACGGAAAGGACCTCGCGGGCCACCAGGTCCAGCTGGACAAATTGGAGCGAAAGGCCAACCCGGACCTTCCGGTAATTCAGGACAGCCAGGACAACCTGGTTATCAAGGACATCAAGGAGAAGTAAGCTAATTTGAAACATCAAAACGAATGAACGTAACTACTGGTATTAATACCTTCCTTCATTTCTTAACTGTTAACATATTAAAAATTGCAGCCTGGAAGTAATGGTGCACCAGGTTCGCGTGGACCACCAGGAACTCCAGGACCACCAGGAATTCCAGGGAAAGATGCAGCATACTGTCCGTGCCCGAAAAGAGCAATGTCTATGCTTGTTAAATCAGCTAAAACCAAAGCTTAAGTGCTTATATGAGGAAAATTTTGTCGATAGTGAGTGTACCAATTCTGCAATCACAAAATTAAGCTTAATTTTCTGTTGTCAGTTGAAAATTTTCTAAATAAAGATAGAAACGCATTTCAAGAAGAATACACAGCACCATTAAATTCAACTAATGTTCATAAAAATGTTTGTGAAACGACATGATATGTAATATTAACAGTATCATGATTTGTGCAAGTGTAAAAGCCGCGGTCAATCAGATACTGCAACCAGTATACATTATATGCCACTTTCCAAGTTCATGATTTCAACCCATGACAGTCATGCATTATTCTGTTTATTTCATTGCTTAAAATAAACAGCGTCCGAGCTAAAGTAATTTACATGATTTGAAGTGACAAACTAGGCGAAATGGAGGAAAAGCTTAGAAACAACAAATTAATGAGCAGCTTCTCATTACACCGTAATTTTCGTACTTTTTAGTCGTTATAAGTACAAGTCAAATTTGCCTTTCCCCGTCCAAATATATTAGCTAATGTGAAGTTAGAAGTAAAAGAAATAATTTGCAGCGAAATCGAACAATATATCAATACTGAAATCAATCACCGTAGTAATCTGAAAAATTCCCGAGTTAGTGCTAGCTGAACCCACCTTGTTTAACGTCGAGTATTGCAAGCGTAGTTGGAAGCCTAGGAATGCGAATGGTCCAATCCACTCTTTACTGTCCCGTCACACTTCTTTAAGCGTTGGCCGTTTAGTGCTGACTGCACCTGTTTCGTTTATCGTCCGCCACTATACTGAATTCTTTTATGAATTTTTAACTTATATTGTGGTTTGGAGAAGGAGATCCGGTTTAATAAGAGATAAAATAGCACTCTTATGAAACGCTGTTTGGATTTGTTTCAGATCTTGTTAATATGACTGATGAAACGAGGAAGATGGAGGTGAGCGAAGGTGATGATTGCCAGGAAGAGACCAACATTACACAAGGAGAGGTCATCATTTGTCTTTATTAAAATATATACGATATTAATAAACCAAAGATTTCACTTCATAATTTTTAAAAGCGTTTCTATCTTTCCTTCTGAAAATGTCGGATATGATAATTTTATCCTGTCGTCACACTCTTGATCTTGATTACCCACTTATTTCTATTTTATTTATATCTCCTTCATCTGTCATCTCTCTTTCACTCTTGTTCGCCTTTTGATTCAAATTCTCCTCCTGATTCAAATATTTCCTGGAATTATTTTAAACTTATCCTAGTTTTCCTTAACTCATGATACTATGATTTATTCATAAATCTTTTCTCACTGTGATATCTTTATCATTTGTTCAGTTTTTTACATCCATTTCAATTAGTGTTTAGGTACTGAAATTCACATCAGCTGCGCTAAAATATGCGGGCAAAAGTGGGAAGAAATTGAAAAACCATAATAAATATGCAGGAATCGGTGAAAAGTACCATTTACGTTTCAAGATGATCAAATGTAATCAAGCGCTTGTAAAGACAATACTGCATAGCTATGGATTTGAACAGGTGGCCTTTTGGAAGAGAAGATTAAGAATTCATCAACCTTTTTTCATAAAATTTGTTCGCTGATTATTATTGTTAGCTATCTTTCGAAATGATTCGCGATCATAAATTGCAGTG